ACAATCAATTTTATTGGTAGAGGAACATTCACTATCGACCTTGGAGACAGGGTTACCCCTGGCTACCATCTATATATTATTTTTGAGATAAATTAGAGTATGTGTTCTTATCTTCTTAATTAGCGTTATAGGCAGGACTGAATGTGTTCGAAGGTTCTAATTATCATGAGTCAAACCTAAGCAAGTGAACCAATTATTTTTTTCAGACCATTTCTTTATTTTTCTCTTGCGTACTAATAACAAACAATTAAGTACTAAAATAATACACGGTAATCGTTGAGGAATTTGAATAACAAATCACTGAGTTCAATTATATCAGAACTGGACCGGCTCTCCTTGGATATCCACCATCCTTTTTATTTTTCTTGAATGACTCACACCCGTTCCTATGAGTGAATCAGAACAGAGGGGAAAACGGATCTCTCGGTAGCAGATGAAACTTGCACTTCTACGGAAAGATCCTGATTTATAGACGATTAAGATTGTCCGAGGATATTCCATTATTTATTCAACCAGCGGATATAAATAAACAAACGGGACGCGAGTAAAAGGTGACTCTCTACTTTCTAATCGCTTGAAACAAGTCCCTTGGGTTAGATAGGGCTGTAGGAACAGGTTCCGTTCGTGATGTTGGGGGTCATCATTTTGACCTGGATATTTGTTGGGTATTGAATAAATAATTTATAGGTTATTAACTATTTATGGATAACCTAAAAGAGGTAAAACATTCAACAAGAATTTTACGGTTAATCAATTATTGTACGTTTAACTAATAATAAAAATAGGATACATATATACTAGATAAGTATATAACGCAGGAGAGATAGTCCACGGCATAGACCCCTTTTTATCAAATTATTAACATCCGCCTGAAACTTCATGAATAGCTTCGAAAATTCTCGTAATTGGGGCGTTTTCAATCTGGAGGTCGGCAAACTTTGTATATTTAATTAGACACTAATAACTCGTAAATACCCACTTGCTTTCCATTTGGATCGTAAGATAATTTGATCACAAAATCGATAAAAAAGGTACCCTACAAAAATATTGGGCCGTTTGGCGTAAATAACCTCGTTATTTTGACAATTTTGAGGTGTAGGTCACGCCAAACGGCTTAATATTTCTGAATGCCACTTTTTTTCTCGGTATAGTGCCCAAGTTATCTCACGATTCAAGTAGAAAGGAAATGGGTATTTAATGATTTTTGGCACCAAATTAAATAGACAATGTTTGTCTCCCTCCAGATTGAAAATGCCCCAATTCCGATTATTTGTGTAAATAAAATATTTGTAGGTTACGATAAGATGGAGCTATTTACGAAGTTTCAGCCGGATGTTAATAATTTGATAAAAAGGGGTCTGTACCACGGAGCAATAACAATAAATAAAATAAGCAATAGTAGATAAAATTAATCTTATTTTTTCTAGCTGAAGTTTCATTGTTGAAGAACTGTTTTCAGGTTTATTATAAAAATGTTATTATACATTAAAAAAAAAAAAAAAAAACCTTGAAGGAGGAGAATACCACCGCTATTCTGGATATATTCGAGTTTATCTTTGATGTATGGTTTTAACCATGAAAACGTGCAATGCATTCTGTATTCTTGAGGAAAATTTCCTACAATTTTTAGCTTCATTGTTTATTCTTGTGATATCGTTGTAAGCATCTATATGCATAACTTCTTGAGGCAGAATACATTCATAACGCCTTCGTTAAGTTAAAAAAAAAATCAAACGAACAGTCTTAAAAGCACGTCTTCTGGATATTCCATTCCAAAGACTGATTGAATGTTTATGATGCTTCAGTTCCCACATCAGGATCAGAAGATACATTTTGCAGGTGGCCGTACAGAATCGATCCTATCGCTTCTAGACCATTGTGGGTCAGCAATCGGAGCTGGGCCTGTAACAATGGCCAAAAAGAATCGTCCTATTGTGTCATTCATTTTAACAGATCGCCATCTATTTAAGGGGATGTCCGTCGTACCACCTTTGTTACTGGCCACTGTTATCTGAAATACTTTGATGAAGTTTCTCACAGCACCTCATAGGTTTCTTTTAATATTATCTTTGTAGCCTCTTTATAATCTTAAAATACTTTTATGTTAATTTTACGAGTTCTTACGAGTCCACTGTATATGAATCACTCGATAAGCTATGCAAACTTCTGTAACCGGCAGCTGGCAGTTTTTTTTTTAACCAGTATTGACGCTGGACGAACATGATTGAGAAGCTAGTTATGTGGTTAATACTTCCGTACTACCCAAGGTAAGAAGCAGATTTGAACGGACGATTAAACCCAATAATTTTTGGATGCAGTTATTAGAGGGGATTAGCATGACTGACTGTAGCCACCATTAGATAGCTGGACGAGGAAGAACTTACTTTTTTTTTCCTCCGTCTTTGATAATGATTGAGAAATATTTACAAATATATATATTGGAAGATGATATTTTAATCTTGCTATATATTTATACTTTATAATATTTATTTCAATATTAAAGGAACGAAGTAATAAATAGAGCTGTAGCTCTGCTGTACGAACCCGTTTGACAAAGGCAATTTTTAGCAAGTATTTATTAGTTTGGCAGGAATTGGATCCATTGTTCTACAGATGTTTGATAGGTACACCAAATCAGAAAGTGTTTAACTATGATTAATCAGAGAATATATCAAAAGTATAGTGATGTCCATTCTGTGTACTATGAATCTGGTTTTAATTCTAACGCGGCAATTCTAATTTGTCTGCCATCCTATATTATTCATGACGTATTAAAGCACTGATTTTTCATTACTTGTGTATAAATATTAAATTTTAGGTATTGTTGTTCATTGGGACGTTCATTCAACGTTCTTTTAAAAAAAAAAAGCATATCTTAAAATTGGGAAATTTTCTCCTGGGGGAGGGAAGTAACATTACTAACATTTTTATTCACGTTCTTGTTTCCAACTAATAAAACAATTTTTAGTTTAATGCACAAGCTATTCCTCAAGTCGTTTAATCAATTAGCTTTTGCTTACTTCATAAATAAAAATTACTCTAGTTTAGGAATAGAGTTGTCCCCAAGATTTAAGTTTCTTCTCTTTTACCGTAATTATATTTTCTTTAAAATTAAATTTTGAATCAGTACACCGAATGGCAATATTTCATGATAGACACCGCCTATGTGTGTAACATAAAAAAGAATGATATATTATAAGAATATTCTCATATCTTTTTCGGACATTGTTTCTTCAAGTTTACACGTTAGCTATTTCTACTTCGCCATGACCTGTACATGAGACACTATTGTTCTTTTTTTTTTATTTTTATCTACTCAGCATCTGTTTCCCATAGACACAGAGCACGCTCACGGCGAAGTTACGTCAAGATCGGAAAAGATAAAATAGGAAAATCCTTTCCCTAGGCCGTCCGATAAAGTTGGATAACAGCTGCGGCCTTGCTGCTTTCTAAGTTTTCGGTTTTATAGACTTTTTTTGTTGTTGTTTGCATGTATTTAAAAAAAAAAAATTCCAAATATGGTTTGGGTTTCATCAAATGCCAGCGTGGTAGTTGAGTTACAGGTAACAAAAGATTACGGTATAAATTTGGAATGATTTTGATTTTGGAATGAATGCAACCTTTTCTTATTGGGAGAAAAATCAACCTAGGAATAGAGCATGCGATTGGCGCCGGGATTCTAAGATATAATCTTCGGTTTATCAGATTGCCGGGCAATTTGTATTTTGCACAGGAATTTACTCGCTCGGCCATCCCACCTCCTACTGAAAGAATTATTAAAAATTCAAATATATAAAAAAAATGTTGGAAAATAAGGTAGATAACCGCCGACTGATGACCCTACCTCGTACTTTAAATCGGGAATCGGGATGTGGTCTAAAAGACCACACTCGCGGTCAATTATCTAATATTTTCCAAAAAATAATTTTATTTATTTATTTAAGTATTTTATAATTTTGTTTAAAACTTATTTATTGAGGAATATTATATAAAATTATTTAAGTAATTATTTTGATTAATTCAGTTTCTATTAGTTTAAATACATACATTTTTATTATTATTATTTTCCTGTTTATTTATTGTAAAACAGTGTGAATGAGCTATTAATATTGTCCTTAGATGAGACCGATTGTAATATATCTCAATAAAGAATAAAATATATATATATATATATATATATATATATATATATATATAATATATATATATATATATATATATATATATATATATATATATATATATATATATTAAGAAATGTTATAATTTCTCTCGACCAACGACATATAATTTAAATAGAACAGCAGAAAAGCATTTAACCATTTGTGCTGTGGACTACGGGGTCCGTTAACAATATGGCATAACTTTTAAACGGTAGATTATGATGGAATTCGGCTTGAAAATGTTCACGCCCTCTATACCCTTATGTTAATACAAGCGGGTTTGTTATTCAATATAATATGAAAGTAAACCTATTTTGTATAATAAGCATTTATGGTACGGACATTATTTTTAATTAAAATTTCATTATTTATAATTCGAATAATAACCTAGACTTTTGGATATCGTATTTCAAATTACGTAAAACATACGCTGAATTATCTGAGAGAAATTCTTTACCTTTGGGAATTGGGTCAAAATTTTGAAATGAATATCAAATTCAATCAAGTTATTAAAAATTGAGCCCCAATACATATTATGTAAATTTTTAAGCAAGAGGGAATTATGTAATTCGGAATTATTTTCAGTGGAAAGTATTCTGTATATTGATTGTAAAACAATTAATTTCAGTATTATAAATAAAATACAGTAATTTACGTATGAAGATAATTTATTTACGTCTTAGCTCATTGTTTTCCTGCTCCACCAAGGCTTTCATATCGAAGATCCTGCGAGTTATTGTGGAGGAGGTTTCCTTGGTGTCAGTCACGCCTTCGGATCAAGAATAGCTGAAGGTCCAACCCTTTCGGTCTAACGTTACATCCTTGTTCTTAGCATTGATGGTCGTGTTTGTGGCAATGGAATATAATATTACTCTGGGTAAACAATACGTTTTTATCTTCCTATATACTGAAACATCAACAAAGCGATTAATGCCGTAACAATGCGTTAATAGTGTTGCCCAAAGTCTGGTTGCACTTGGCAAGACCAATACCAAGGCCACCTAACTGTTGCAAGACCAAGACCACGACTGGTAAGAATAATAGATTTTTAAAGTAAAAATTAAGGCAAAATAGTTACTAATACTTAACAATCTTAGTTACTATATGTAAATAATAGGTATAACCAACACACTTTTGCATTTAAATCCTATAATTTTTCATTCGGACTTAGTTGCATTACCTCTGTCTAGAAAATTACAGTAATATCTCTATAGTAATAAGCTGATAAGTAACTGCAAGACTCTTTCGCAAGACCAAGACCACGACCAAGACTGAGTTTACAAGAATAACACTCGTCTCGGTCTCGCATTCAGGCAACACTATGCGTTGACAATCATAAACTACGTTGGAGTAATAAAATGTTGTAAAAAATAAAGCCAGATTATCATATATTGTCATTAGTGTTGCCCAAATGCGAGACCCAGACGAGTCTTGGTCTTGCAAACTCAGTTTGGTCATGGTCTTGGTCTTGCACAAGAATCTCGCAACAGTCTTACAGTACTGTATTTTGTAGATATGAGAAATCTAACTAAGCCTGAATGAGAAATTAGAGGAATTAAATGCAAAACTATATTGGTTATACCAATTATTTACATATAGTAACTAAGATTGTCGAGTATTAGTAACTATTTTGCCTTAATTTTTTATTAAAAACATCGATTTTTTTTACCAGTCCTGGTCTTGGTCTTGCAACAGTTAGGCGGCCTTGGTCTTGGTCTTGCAAGATGCAAGACCAAGACCGATTTCGGGCAACACTAATTGTCATCAACATTTCAAATACCTACTGTCTCGTTATTGAGTCTCTCAATATTTTTAATTGTGTTATATAGGACCATCGTATGTGAGTGACCTAGGAACAAAACCGCTACTTTGAAGGATCAGAATGATTCAATTACCCCGGGGTGCCCATCCCTCCTAACGACGATGCTGAAAATTTATTGTTTGCCGTTCTTAAAAATGGTGCAACTAAAAGAAAAATTATAAAGTCTGTTTCTTTGATGGAAGTTTGTCGACTGTTCTACATATCATGGATGATAGGTAGAACGCAGTCAGTTTATAAGTGATTTGTTGGCAACTATTCAACCCATACTTGTGGGTCATCATCAGGCGATCTTTTCAGCACCGAAGGCACGTACTAAAGGAGTATTGGAATCTGCTCTGTAGAAACGATAGTTTGGTTTTTCTCTTATTCCTTGGTTTCAAAGTTCCTTCTAATTGATACCCAACGAAGTATGATTGTTTCCAAAAATTCACAACCCTGTAAAAATCTGCCTTACTCAATAATTTTGAAAGAGCAACCTGCGCCATGCGATCCGCTTCTGAGCACCCACCACGTACCGCAAAGAGCTAACTGAAAGGTTTTGCTTACACGTTAGTCAGCTCAGTCAAGCGGTCATACATGGATGAGAGCTTTATCTAAGATATGTTGTAGATATCATAATATTATAACTGTATACACAGTATAGGACTCCAATGGAAGTCTTGGACCGTTGATAGGAAACAAATACTGAATAATGTTAGAGGAATGGATAACGTACGGATCATGAATAATGAACCACTGAAAAGAAGGTCAATACGTTGTTTGGAAGATAAAATTAAGCTTGATGAAGAGAATGATGGTTGGGGTGATGAGTGAAAATAAAAATGGCAAGAATAAATAATAATATCTATTTTAACATTTGCAGACGTTCCGACCGGAAGTTTAGGCCTTCATCAGGGCTGAACTTCGGGTCGAAACGTCGGCAAATGTTAAAATAAAATAAATATTATTATTTATTCTTGCCATTTTTATTTTCACTCATCACCCCAACCATCATTCTCTATAATCAACCATCAACCCACAATTATAAAATTATGGTTGTTTTAATTGATTCAGTTTTTACTGCGATGAAAAAAATAAGACATGTTATGTTACAAACTGGAAAACCTTTTTTTTTTGTACGATAAAACCTCGCTAATGGTTAGAGAGAAAATCTCGGGTATGCTGTATTAAATAATAAGGTACATAGGATACAAAATGCACGCGTAAATCAGATCTTAACATAAACTCCTTCTTGTTAAAACGTCATCATGAAGGTTTAGTTGTAATTTTGCCCAAGTGTTATTAAAGCCTTTTTTGAGCTTCCAACTATGTCCAATTTTGTGCCAACGAAATGCAATTTGTAGCTTACGTTGGTAGAAAAAAGCTAAATGTCATCGATTGCTATTTAAGGCTAATAGGAACCAGCAATTTGTCCTTGTGAATATTGACGTTTAGACAGTCCAAAATTGGTGATTTTCACGCAGAGAACAAAAAATATTAAAGGATCCAAGAAACATTTTACAATGAAGAACTGATGGGATTATTGAATGAAGAATCATGTCAATCACAACAATGACTTCAATCTGTAGGAATAAGTTGGCAACGATTTAATTGCGCCTCGGAGCTATGGAAATGATCCAAATACATGGAAACTTCTCTTCTCGGTATTCACAAACTAGTTTAAAACCCTTGAATGAGACATACTCCCCTACTTGTGGTATTCTTCAAACACTGATCCTTCCATCTAATATTTTTTTATCTTAAGGACGCATGGTCTGTCAGCAGCACAAGAATACAAAAAGTTCCTACAAGAATGCAAAAGATGAGTTGATTTTTAGATAGCCTCTTGAGATCAGTTGCTTTTGTCAGCATGGACTTAGTATGATTTAATGGCGGAATAATCAATTTGTTTCTATTTTTACTAAATGAAATCCCAATTTTATTACGAACTTTTATAAAACTCGCTTCTATGCCCAATATAAAATCTATATAATATTTAACAGAATTTAAAAGTTATTTATTTTACAATATATTGGATATATATATATAGATGTAACGGTAGAGGTTGCGCAAACAATGGTCATTGATCGGGAAGTGACCGTTCTATTTTTTTTAATGTATTATTCTGCGAGTCTAGGAGCTGAGTCATCAGTTATAACATCTTCCTTTTCCGCGAGGAAGTTTTCTGATTCTGCTTCTTTTTTTTTTTTTTCTTTTTTTTACCTCTGTGCTGTACGTAGTGTCGCCACAACATTACCTCAAAGAGACTTTACACAGGTTAACAACTTACTATTGCTATCATCATTATGAAAGAATATATATATATATATATATATATATATATATATATATATATATACATATTCCTCGTAGAATCGACAAAAACCACTACTCTTTTTTGTCGATTCTACAAGCAATAATTATGCAATATAATGTATATTTATTTTTTCTTTCATAATGGTGATCCGATGATTATGATCCGATGATTATGATTTCTTTCATAATTAAAATCTGGTGTATACAGGCATTTATTCATAGTTGCATTAGTAGTGAATTAACAATGTCATCATAGACAAGAACTAAAGAGGATCAAACAATATAATTTGAGATATGGAATTTAAAAGACGTTGGATAGGTCTCTATACTACACTATTGGGTAAAATTGCTTCATTCTCAAAATATGACTTTTTTGCTATTAAAATATCATAGGGCTGTGTGGTATATAAAAAAATTACTTCTTGAAATAATTTCCTGACAGATAATTTCTATTAGGATGAAAATGAAGCTGGCATCTGACCAGATAATTTATGTCGAAATCGACATTTATATCTTGGTCGGGATGTTTGCAGTGATTCGCACTTTCAGATAAAAATTAAAGCAGAAACTTTTTTTTGTGCTAACGTTTCGGCCTAAGTTTCAGACCTTGATGAGAACAGAGGAAAGACAAAATAAGCACAAAAAATAAAAATAAATAACGTATTAACAAGATAGAAAAAAATAAATGTAATGGCAAGACATGAAAATATATGTAAAATATAAAAGACGATAATCATGGTGTGATAATAAATTATTATATTCAATAAATTTGAATTTGTTTACGTTATTTTTTATATTTTAATTAAGTATTATAACAATCTGTCTGTTGGACATTGGTTATAGTGAGGTAGGATGACATTCACACCATATGTACAAAAAAATAAAATAAATAGAACAAAATAATAATCAAAAGTATATACAATAGACAATAAAATAAAATAACCTAAAAAATAAGAAAATTAAAACTAAGGAAAAAAAAAAATAACATGCATACCTATATACAATCAGGCGAGGGAACTCCAGGAGAACCCTGCGCTACTCTTCCAACCGCGTCACTGGTACTAAAGCCAGCGGAGATTGGTCGAGAGCACTTTAGCCACATACACACATGTCTTGAGTGAAGAATCTGGCCATTGCCAGAACTCCAATTTATATAATCTACAAAAGGTCGCGAGGCCACTGCCGTTTCAACCTTCTTGGAGGATTATAGGGATGGGAGATGCTTGATAGTGATTGTGCAAGAGGATTTGGGTGGTAAGTAAGGTTCTGGTGAAATTTGGAGAATTTTTCTGGGATAAGGTCTAGGACAAATGGGATGTTAAGGTCATGATGTAGGGTTTTGTTGGATACATAGAAAGGAGCATCGACTATTGTTCGAAGGACTTTAGACTGGAAGGATTGGATGCGCTTGATGTTAGAAAATTTTGCTGATCCCCACAGTTCTAGTCCGTAAGTCCAAATAGGTTTCAGTATTGTCTTGTAGATCAGTAGCTTGTTTTCAATGGAAAGTTTAGATTTTCTGCTTAGTAGTCGGTATAGTTGGCCGTATCGTCGGTTGAGTTCTTGTCTTTTGAGTCTAGTATGCGGGTTCCAAGTTAGTCTTCGGTCTAAATGAAAGCCAAGATACCGGACTGTGTCTGAATAAGGAAGCTGGATGGAATTAAAGAGTACTGGTGGACAGGAATTGCGTCGGAGTGTGAAGGTAATATGTTGGCATTTAGTTTCATTAACTTTAATGCGCCAGTTATTACACCAGTGCTCAATCAAGGTGAGGTGACTTTGGAGATTTAAGGATGCTATTTCGGGATCAGAGTTGGATGATAAGATTGCGGTGTCGTCAGCGAATGTTGCAAGAAAAGTATCGGGATGAACAGGGATGTCAGCAGTAAAGAGGATGTAAAGCACGGGACCCAAGACGCTGCCTTGGGGAACACCGGCTTTAACGGAGTAGATATTGGAAAATTCTGTTCCACAGCGAACTCGAAAGGAGCGGTCAGAGAGGTAGGATCGGAGGACTAGGTACAAGGACTGAGGTAAATGGATTTTAAGCTTGGAGAGCAGTCCGGAGTGCCATACCCGGTCAAATGCCTGTGCAATGTCCAGAAAGGCACCCGAACAGTATTCCTTGTTTTCTAGGGCTGAGGAAATATGATCAACAACTCGGAGTCCTTGTTGAACAGTAGAATGTTGAGAGCGAAAACCAAACTGATGGGAAGGGATATTTTGGGATTCTATAATGGGTAGGATTCGTTTCAAAAGGATCTTTTCAAAAATTTTTGAAAGGATTGGGAGTAGGCTGATTGGTCTATAGGATGTTGAGCTATTGAGAGGTTTTCCTGGTTTTGGGAAAAGGATAATAGTGGAGTGTTTCCATAACAGAGGGAAGTGGGTGGTGCGTAGGATACAATTGTAGATATATGTAAGGAATATGACTGCTTTGGATGGAAGTTGTCGAAGGATTTGAGGTGTAAGGAGATCATGTCCAGGAGCTTTACGGAGGATTAGTTTTTTTAATTGAAATTTTACTTCGGAAGGATGAATAGCTTTTGGGGGCAAGGAAAGTGGGATTGGTGATGTAAGGAGTTCTTCTACTGTTACGGTGTGGGCAGGATGGGATTCCGGATGTGAAATAAATGTATTGGATAGGTGAATGGCGAACTCCTCAGCTTTATCTTCGTCAGATGCTGCCCAGGAGCCATCACCTCGTCGGAGAGGATGGGAAATGCGGTGAGGATTTAGGATTTTTGTTGTGGTTTTCCAAAGGGAATTGTCGCGAGAAGAGAGGGAGGATAGGTAGGAGTTGAAGGATTGTGATCTGAAGGTGGCTAATTCCAGTTTTAATTGTTTGCAGTAGTAATTATAGGAGCAGCGGTCGGTAGGATGTCGGGTACGTTGCCATAATAATCTGGCACGGCGTTTGGTGCGGATTAGGTTAAGGAGGTGTTGGGGTAGAATGGTCTTTATAGGAATTCTGGAGGAGTCTTTTGGAAAGGAGGCAGTCCAGGCGGCTTGTTGGATTGTGGTAGTAAAGGAATTTACGGCACTATCAAGGTCATCGGGAGTTTTGAGGGATATGTTGAGATCAATATTATCGGAGATTATTTGGCGGAAAAGGTCCCAGTTTACTGGGCCCCTAATGAATGACGGTGGAGAAGGTTTGGGAACAGGTTCAAGTGAAACATTAAGGATTAGAGGACTATGGTCAGAGGAAAGTTCATTTAGACGTGTAATGGAACAATTGAGGGGACTTAAGCCGCTGTGGATAAAGAAATCAAGAAGATCAGGATTACGGTTGGGATCTGTGGGCCAGTAGGTAGGAGAGTTGGGGGAAAGGAGGTGAAAACGTTGGGAATTGAGTGCAGACAGCAGGGTTCGGCCACGAGAATTCGTGGTTCTGGAACCCCATTGTTGGTGCTTGGCATTTAGGTCTGCACCCAAGATGAAGTGATGTCCTAAGGAGTCGAGGAGAGAACTGAATTGGGCATTGGATATGGATCGGTTAGGAGGGCAATACGCTGATGCAAGAGTGACCGGAAAGGAGAAGGTTTTTATCACGATAGCGGTGGACTGTAGGAAATCATGTATTGGTAATGGGAGTACGTGATGGGAGAGGGATTGGTGTACAATTACAGCAGTACCGGCATGTGCTTTTCCGTCAGGGTGGTCAGTACGATATGTCAGGTATTGTGGTATATTGAAGTGCTGTTTAGTGGTTAGTCGAGTTTCAGTAATTAGTGCCACATCAATGTTCTTGTCAAGTAGTAAAGTAGATAGTTCGTCTGTATGATTTCTAACACCATTCATTCAATAAATTAGAATTTTTTTATGCAAGAAGTTATAATGTGACATATATTACTTTCTACTAACATATTTTAATCGAACATATTTATACTAACATATTTATCGAATATTTTCATATATTAAAGCACAGTGCATAATACCTTTTTTTGCTTTTAATGTACTGCTTATCATAATACTTCACTAATAGTTTCATGCCTTTTCATTTTTTTATTTTTATGTATTTATTTGTTTTTTTATAGTCAATATATTCTTGCTAATATGTTATGTTTGGTTTTTATTTTGTTTTTCCTCAGCCCTGACATAGGCCTGAATCGTACGGCAAAACGTTGGGATAAAATAAAAACATTGTATAGATATAAAATATCAAAGTAAAATATTATAAATTAAAAAAATATATTTCTTTGTGATAGTAACCACCGACCGACTTTCCTACCATATTATCTAGTCAACTTTTTCTCCACCACCAAGTATATATTTGCTCGGAGAAATCAAGATGGATAAAATAATACACCTATTGTAGAAAGTTGATGGATCTAATAATATCGATTTTTTTTTTAAGAAAGGACTTCTTCATAATGATAATATTGAAACCCAGAATATAAATTTTCAATATGAGAGTGTGTGATGTAATGACCGGCTCTTTAACAGGTATCCTGGGAGCCAATATTAATGATATGTTTGATAATTCGAAGAACCAGGGACTGTGGCTTGGAATCGACCATGTCAGTATCTCAAGCAAGCTGCTCCCAATAATCCAGTCTTTTCGCAATCATAAATTCCCCTGCAGTGCGCTAGCCTCCTCGTTATGGATGGAAGACCAAAAACCAGATGTATAGGAAAAGCAAACAGAAATACCACAGACCTACGTGCAGTAGATTAGAAAGTAAGAGTCTAAGATAGGTGAAGGAAGAACAGGGCTGTTAACGACAATCGTCCAGAAGGGTCTAGAAGAAAAATGTAAAAAAAAATAAAATAAAATAAATTTTTTTTAGTTAATTAGTTTTTTGTTTAGAAGCCTTATTTAATTCAGTATCAATTAGGTATACAGTTCCTCAATCCCACAGAGTTTTCGAAAATAAAATACTCAGGATCAGTCGATCGTCAGGAGCTAGATTTGAACAGGTGCTTTCTGAATCAAGCTTGAGTTCTTTTGGTACATCTCGTTTTATATTTGATAGAATTGGTAGTAAAGGGTTATTATTATCAGTTTAATTACTCGAATTAGAAGGTATTTTTTTTTAATTATAGCTCTTCAGTTAGAAGCTCAAGTTCTCATCATTCATACATCCTTCTCGTAAAGAATTGATTTCAGTGAAAGTGAACGAGTTCCAACTTTGAACTTCAGCAACAATAAAAACATTATGAATGGTTACATTTGGGGCTGATAACATTTTGATTACATGCAACCAGCAATAAAAAAAGTTACAAGTGCTCTTACGAAACAAAAGAATAAAATTGTTGTTCCCTGCTTAGGGCGTTGTGAAAGTTTGTGTAACTGGAGCTCTGTGCCAAGGTCTAGTGTAGTACCAGAAAGGGCGTTAACGGATGACTTGTTTTACATGGGGTCCAATAATTATCTTTTTTATGTAATTTAACGCTATTTTATAAATGTTTTTTTTATATAATAATAAAAGCAGTCGTAATCTTGATTTTCTCACAGTAAAACTAGTACTGATTTATTTCAAATGTCTTTCATAAATTCTTACCGAATTCGCTGTAGTATCTACTATTTCATGTAACTAGGCGAAATTATTAAGTTCCGTGTTTAATATATTTTAGAGCGGGGTAGCTCAGTGGTAGAGCACTATGTTTCCAAACCTCAATGTCCAAGGTTCGAATCCCGGCTCATGACAGAAATATTATTTCTTCTGTTTCATTGGCCTTGGGGCGACTCTGGGGTAAGAATACCCTCCTGGGGCACACCCAGCCTCTACAAAGTGGGTACCCTTAATTAAATAATTGATTAAGGAGGTAAACCTAGCGGTAGCGAGAGTGATCCTGGCCCAATCCCTTCCCTGAATAACCATTGGTCTTGTAACAGTACTTTCCATAAATAGTACTGAACCCAAGACCCTTCATGAGTTGTAGTGGTATTATTAAAAAAACAAACATTGAAATCATCCTTTTTATTTTGTTTATTTATTTCATTTTTTGTTTAGTTTAACAAATTGAGTGGATTTTGACAATTACTGTTATCGTTTTTAATTTGGTAGGTAATACTTTTATACTATTTTCTTATATTAAAGAAAATACTAATCTGATGGAGAATGGTTTGTGGACTAACTTCCGACAGACTCAAAGAGAAGATATTTGAAGTAAAAAATTATTTCCCGTTAGAAGAAGGTAGATACTCTTGAAGTTTAAAAATTACTTTATCCTCTAGAATTTGTAATCTAAATCTTCATAATTTAAGAAGAAAACAGGCTATTAATTTAATTTGTTTATTTGTTAAGTTAATTTGTTTTTTAAGGTGATATGACGACCATCATTCAAACTGTTGGTAAAAAACCATTTGTACAATCAAGCATCAGTTATGTATTGTAGCATTTTTTTTTTTTTTATGCAAATATATTTGCTAGTAAACAATTTGCTCAGAGATTCGGGAATGGAGGTATCAATTGATAAATAATACATTTTTAAATATAATTATTGAAATATCATTATTATATATACATATAATAAGCTATTTCTTCTTATTTATTTATAAGAATTTGGTTTGTTGGTGCTACAAACTGTGTTACTAAATTAAATGTCGTTGCAACGGAAGCCGAAGTTGTGTAAGAAGATATCTCTATTCTCTTCGCGTGGGGTTTACTCATGTTTTTGAAATTATTCAAATTGATTTTGACTTGAAGCGGTTATGCTACATAACAAGGTATCATTAATAGCCCACGCTTTTTATAACTGTAATGATTCTGATTCAGAATGATCAATATTTAAATCTATGATTATATTATAATTTATCATTATAATTAAATTTGTAATTTATTATTGTAATTAATGTTATAATTTATTACTTTATTTAATTTTACGATTTATTATTACAATTATTTTTATTTTTTTATGAAATTTGTTTGTTGTTGTTTTGGTGAGTTAGTGATAGTACCTTGAGAAGGGTCTTCAGTTAATTAAAATATAATTTTCCAGAATTTGTACCTTGCAATTAACATGTAATTAAAAAAAATGCGTCTGAACCTGAACCTTGCGTACACGATGAAACTTTATATATATATATAATTTTCGAATTTACATTTGAATTGATCATAAATTTAAAATTTTGATTATAAATAAAAATAAGTGTAGTTTCCTATTAAAGAACAAATGATGGTATATTTACTTATCAAATTTTCGTTTGTTAACTCCTTTGATTTTTGACTCCTTAGATCTTTAATCCTGTAAATATCAATTTATAGTATCGTTCTGATTTAAGGGTGATGAAATTTCAATATCTTAATAAACTTAAGACTTAATATCCTTTTATATAATCATCATTTTTCCACTAAACAGTAAATAATAGAAATCATTTCTATTTCTTCAAGATTATAAAATATAAAAAAGCAGTACCATACATTGCAATAATAATAGATATATATATCGATGGTGAACTTTCGAAACCAAGATTTGAAATGATTGTTATATTTGTAAAATCAAGCATCGATATATATATGTGTGTGTATAATATGACGATATCGCAGGCCAACTTCAAAGATATTGTCAGTACCGATTTCATAGTTTGTAGTAAAAAAACATTAAAAATATTTAAGATTAGATATATATGTTTATACTGCATACAGATATATAGGTTTATTTTATGTCCAAATTAGAAGCGGTATTTAAAAACAATAACAAACGCTATCTTAGTATTTCTTAAACCTTGAAAACTATAATATAGTCGTATTGATATATAAATAAATAATAACAAAAAATCTGTTATTGATTTATAAATATGGTATGATAGACTTTATTTTTCTTAAGGTAGAACAATGTGTTATTGACTTGAAAATCTTTCATACAAATTATACTATATATATACTGCGACAGTATGACAGTATACTGCGACTGTGGCTGATGAACCTCTTAAACACGACACTGACATAATTCTTCTTTCTTCTGGCTACACTATTACACTTAACCATTGGAACGTTCTATATCACAAAATAAACACACCCCTCCCGAAATGTTGCGGATAACCGGTATATCCTGAAGGTCGCTCAAGAGGACCTCTGATCCGCAACATAGATACGTTCATGGAGGTTCGATACGAAGAGCTATACTATGTTATTATATATGATATATTATTATTATAAGATATGACTTACAATTAGTAATATCTTCATGCCTGCTCACTGGACACTTCACAAGTAGCTAGCCGTGGTGCCGGAGAGCTGCTTTATAACTTCATGGGTGAGAGCCGTCCCCACTTCTGCTTGGGCAACCGCGCCTCCCCCACCACGGGGCGGTATCTTCAGCTAGTGGTCTTAATGAATAATATCTAAAGGGTTTCCTTTGCCAATCTGTCACGGGTGGACGGACTCTATCCGGATTGTTTGGATACCTTCTGGGTCTATTATATCGTCCAGCGCCCGTGATCCAGTTCTGATCATGGTGCAAGTTCATTAGGGGTTGATGATGTTACATGGAAGATCGCGTGTGTGCTATGAAGAATTCGCAGGACTACTATGCTTCAAGTTAATGGTGCATATAGTCTGTGGTACAGATCTCTTTTTATGTGAAATTAATATAATCCGTGTAAAACTTCGTAAATGGCTTCATTTCATCGTAACCTACAACTTTTTCATTTACGAAAATTCTTAAAAATGTTTTCTCATTAAATTAATTAATTTAATTAGGTAATAAAAACTCATGAATATACAATTCACACAAAAATACACTAGTTGGTCGTTAAAAATATAAAAATACAATTACAAAAATATTGGGTCGTTTGGCCTATGTGACCTTGTTATTTTGACATGTTGAGAGTGAATATCACACCAAACGACTCAGTATTTTTGTAGGCCATCTTTTTCCCCGATTTTGTCATCACATTATCTTAAAATGCAAGTGAAAGCAAACGAAAGATCATGGTTTTTTATTACCTTATTAAATAGACAAAGTTTACCGATATCTTGATTAAAAAAAGCCATTTCCGAGAATTAATAAGCAAATTAAGAGCGAAGAATTAATAATCAAATAATGGGCGAATGGAATAATGCAAAATATTCCAAAATGAATCAGTATACAATAAAAAATAAAAGAATAATTCAATGATTAGGCTTCAATCGGCAATAAAATGTATAGTTTTTGAATTATTCGCAAATTATGTTTCTTTTCTTTCATTTTTCTCTTAAATTTCGGGGGATGTGATTATATTTCATACCAGAAGGAATAGAAAATCTTCAAAAGGAGACCTCAATCATGCGGATTGATGTAGAATTCACAAGGAAATGGCATATCGACAAAATACATCTTTGAGAAATAATATATATATATATATATATATATATATATATATATATATATATATATATATATATATAAATTCAAACATATGATTTCAATGTAATTTTCTCGACGTTTTCAGCTCTTTTTACCAAAGGGCCTTTATTAGTGTTTTTAATTCTAAGAACTTTTGAAGGATTTTGCAATCAGTGTATTATTGGTCTATATTGAACAGTTTTGTGGAATATAATAATTATTATACAAATTTTATAATCTATTTTATGCCTTCGATTTTTCAATTACAATAGTTGCTATTATTACTATCTTACTTATTACAAACTTCAAGTATTTAGTGGTATTTTTTGTTTAGTACTAATGTACAATTATAAGTTAATTAATGAATATTTATCCTCACAGGCTCTACGGGTGAGAGGGGAGGAGTTTTCGGGCTAATGCTCCCCCAAAATGGAACATTATAACAATGTTTTACAGAAAAAAATATTAAAAACTATCTCTTAATGTATTATTGTTCATGTAATTACATTTAATAGGACTTCAAGAATCACTTAAACACCATTGCATACAGGTAGTTCATTTCTTTCTTTTGTTTTTTAAATTAATTATCGTTATATATATGAAAAAAAGTCTTTCGGGCTGAAGCCTCCCTCCCTCTCCAAAATTAAATCCTCCATCCGTACACTATGTACGGCTTCAATTTTTTATTTTATTTGACTGTCAAAAAGAATCAAAGTAGTGTTATGATGTTGGACCACAATTACTTTTCTCTTTCCTAAGAATATCTTCTCGTTTTACATTCGTTCACACTCACTTATATGCATGTTTGTTATTAAATTAATCAAACTTATACAAATATATAATTTTTTTTTTTGTACATGTATTAATTAGTAAATATTAGAAAGATGCGAGGAATAATAGTGTTTAAATAAATCATTATGGTAATATTTTCAGAGTTTTCAAGTTTTATAGCACACGAAATTAATCCCACAATATAATATTTTGTTATTGGATATTTAATTTCCGTTTCTTACTCTAGAAAGGACTGCTATACATTAATCATTTCGATATGGCGAAATAAATTTATCTAATTGTATCCTTAGAGTTACAAATTTTTAAAAATCATAATTATTTGAATAAATAACAGAAAGTTTAAAACAATATTTTTTTACCTTATAATAATATTATCATCAAACGCCATGTTAAATCTGGCTGTCGACTGCTCTAGGCAACGTTATGTGGGTTTGCATGTTTGGGTATGGAAGGGGATATCATGTGGGTGGTCCATCGCGGATTCTATAGCTATTATGAATGTTTGAGATAGAGGTAAAAAACTTAATATATTTAATAATTTCATATTAATATAATTTAAATTGGTACTAACGAAAAACATTATTTGACCCAGAAAACTACAACAGAAATTTAATTCAGAAGGTTTTATCAATAACTCTGTTTATCATTAGATATATCTCATTAAAGAGTACTGTAAATTAGCAGACAATTAAAAAAAAAATTCAATGATTAAAACGAGATTAAAATATGAAACTTTTACTTGGTATGGCACACTGGGCTTCTTTTCAAGCTTAAAACCTTTAGCGTTTTGGTCGCGTCCTTTATATCCACTTTACCGCTGTCCATTCCGATACCTTCCTGGACGCCATCTTTTCATGCAACTCAAATCGGTAAATAGCATCCTTAAACTTTACACTTTGATGGAGATCCTGTTCTCTAGTCGATTTTAATTCCACCCAGATTCATTATTTAAACATAGTACGGAATCTTGGCTATCTCTTAGACCGAAGACTGACGTGGAACTCTCATTTGAAAAGAACTTAACCGATGATGCGGTCAACTATATATACAGATAACTGACTAAAAAATTTCAACTCTCAGTTGACAACAAATAAGTGATATACAATACAATCATGAAGCCTATTTAGTTAGATCTACCGACTAAAACTGTGGTGAACAGCAAACAATATTCTAACATAATATAGAACTTTCCTCATGTGGCGATGTTTAGAGGGTGTAAGTCTAAAATTTTACTTTATTTTTAAATATTGTATAAAACCATGTGTGTATTGAAATAGTTATTTTGATTAGTTTTTTATTTTTTAGTTTATGTAAATTTATTATATCTGGCTGTCATACCCACTTAATTTCCCTGCAATCCTTCTTCTCAGTGTACACCATTGGGAATCCACTTCTGGGAATCAACAGCGCTGTTTGCAATATAGCTCCAAATTACTCTCGCCCGGTCGTATGTTCAGATTCTAAATCTGACCTAAAATCTCTACTAGACTCCTTTACCACACACCCTCTAATTACAGAAATAAAAATATAATTAAAAGCATTGAAAAACGCTGATTATAGAGTATTGTTTTTATGGATACCTGGTCACAGTGGAATTCCTGGAAATGGACATGCAGACACACAGGCGAAACGAGCAATAAAAATGATCAAGTATTTTCAATAAGTGATCGCAATGATCTAATATCTTGGATCAATGAAAAAGGATGGTTGGAGTGGCAAAACCAATGGTTTGGCATGAGAGAAAATAAATTAAGAAAAACCGAACAATATGTTAAACACCTAAGAAAAAGTCTACAGCTATCACGGACAGAAGAAATAGTGCTTACAAGCCTCAGGCCATTGTCGACTTACCCATGGATATCTGACGGAAGAAGAAATGAAGGAAGAACCGCCAACATGTTCCTACTGCGGCTGTTCGCACTGCTTCACATACTAACGGAGTGTATGTCTCACGACTTTTACAGATTTTCCACAGATCCAGAACTAATACTGGACAGAACGATGAAAAGACTTCACGACTTATTAAATTCTTAAAAGCTATGTTCATACGACATTTATGATAAAATTAAAAAAAAAACAACTTCAAGTGACTAAAGAAATTTCAGTGTAAATGACTCCAGTGGTCGAAACACTCAAACAAATAAATAAATTTATTTTTATTATTATTATTTTGTTGTTTTTAAAATTTTATTTCTTGAACATAGTGTGAATGAGCTATTCTTTTATTACTATTAATGTTGTCCTTAGATGTGACATCGAAAAATCTTTATTTTTTTTATTAAAATTTTTCGTTTCTCTTTGTACATTTTAATTCAATCAACAAAATGAGTTAATGTTGACTCTTCTGGTGACTATTATTGAAGAGAGAAGGAAGCCCAAGGAGGTGACAAAATTAAGCCTCCCTCTCGCCCTCAACCTTTCGAAAAAGATGTTAGTTCCAGCACTGTCTTAGTTCCAGTAAATGGTAGGGAACCACGATTTTTAGATTTTTTAATACCTCAACTGTTTAAACATCTTTATCTAGTAAATTAATTTAAATAAAATTTAAAAAAAATATATGAGCAATCGTTCGTTTAAAAATACATATGGTATGATACCAGGTCGTGTGCAATGGTATGTTGGCCATTCAAATCAACTTTTAATTTCGAAACCATCCCAAGAAATCGCACAATGGACATGAGGCATTCGAATGCCTCGCCCGTCCGTGGTGACGCACTCAAAATGGGTCAAGTGGGTGCAACCAATCTCTTAACCTGCCTTAGGTTGTAGTATACTTTGAGGTGTTCCTAACCGGGATTCGCAACTGTAATAGTAATTGTTGTGAGGGAATTAGCGTACTTTAAGTATAGTACAGATAAATAAATTATAAATCCATTACAGGATTATAAAATTCATATGACTGGTTTCATATCAAAGACACGTCTGCCATTTTCAGGAAGTTGAGAAAAGTCAATTTTTGAAGCCACACATTTATAATTTCCACATAAGTAAGAAGAAAATAAGTGAAACGTAATTATTTGATACTTTGCAGTTCATTCAATACTGCCTTAAAACAATTTGATGTGGTTTGTAAGAACAGTAATTCTACTAACGTA